TTTTGGTAGGAATGTGTTAATATGGAATTGAACTTGTTCATGTGACAAAATTTTAGTAACTTTTTTAACTCTTAACTGGCAGATGGATGAAGAAAACTCTACATAGTATGACTTTATGCCAAATGGGACTATGAAGTTCAATTACCTTCGCTTATAGTGAAGTAGTAAATGACAATACTTGTATCAATGTAAAATAAAACCAAGATTCATGTGATCTGAAACTGCATATTAAGTTTTTGGAATAAAGATTTTTCTGTTTTCTGTCTGTCTGAAAGTAATCACTACCTGAATGAAAAGCTTAAATGCTAGAAAAGCCTAAGGGTTAAAACTGATGGGTTTATTTCATGCAAAACTACACTTACTTATTTGCCTGGACATAGGAGTGAGTTAGTATCAATTCTTTAGCAGACACTACAATGAAACTGTACCGTATTGTTTTTGTAAGGTGTGTGTGTGTGTGTATATATATATATATATATATTTTTTTTTTTAACTCATGATCGGCTGCGCTTCAGCCTACCCATGATTTGTGACAGCAGTTTGTGTTATAAATGGTCAAACTTGTGCATTAAGAGTCACATGTTTCTCTTGGTTTTGGTATGCAAAACACCTCGTCCCTTTATTGTACAGGGAACACTCTAGACACCCTGTTTATCATCCTGAAAACTACTCTCATACCCTCAGTTTTAGTCTCCAGATGACTGGAATGTGTCAATAAGTGGGGAAAATACTTTCTTAGGATGATCTATTGTAAAGGCAATAGATCTTTAGGTAGCTGGAGCTTCTGAACCGAAGCAGAATTGCCTGTTAGAATAAATGTTCTTAAAACTGAAGGTCACATTATCTGCGAAAGAAGTCAACTTTGAACAAACAAACAAAAAAAACCTACTATTGCCTCTGTTAAAGCCTCCACTCAAACATACAGTATTTTCTTTGGTTTTTTTAGGTTCAGGTTTCTTTTCTGTAGCAGAAACAAAATGGGATTACAGCACAGTGTATTCCAGTAAAAATGATGTAGAGCAGCAAAAGCCATCATTGCGAAGATTTTTGTCAGTGTATTTCAATTTGGACTTCCGTGTTTGATTGGGGGGAAGGGAAGCATGCTAATTAGGTTGTGTTTTCTCTGTTAAAACAGACAGACCTCTTTAAAAGAGTAAGAATTAAAGTTGTAAACATTTCTGTAGGTTTAAGGGGACATGCTGAAAAGGAATATGGACTATACAGTGAGAAGAAATTAGAACTGAATCCAGAACGTGTAACATACCGGTTTATGCCTATATCTAATTGAGTTGCCCTCTTGGAAGCAGGCCAGGCCAGGCCATGCTGTGCTCAGCATGAAGAGGAGAAAGGTTGTTTTGCTGCCTGCTGGGATTTGTGATAGGTTTGTAGACCTCCTCAATTTTAGAACTGGAGAGTTTTGGATCCTTGTCTTAACAACTAGGATGGTGTCAGGAATGTTTCAGGGATACACAGAGAATTTTTCTTGCTTGCGCCTCCTTGTATGGAGGGCTTCTAAGGGACCTGTGCAGCTTAAGGTGTGTGTGTTATGGCCCAGCTACTGAGAGTGGGCTGCTTCAGAGCCTATCAGCTTGGGGTGGAAAACTATACAGTCAGTAGATGTATCCTCTGGTGTTTCCTGAAAAAAGGAATATATTTTTTATCCATTTAAGGTCACTCAGTGTAGGATTCAGTAGCCTATAATGAGTATAAGATTGCTTCAGGGAGGATTTGTTGCTTTGGCCCATGTCCCCTTTGTGTTAACCTAACTGCCTGTGTCATTACAATGTGCTGTAACATTACATATGGCAATGCTGGCAACAACAGAATAATAAAAAAACTTTTTGTGCAAGGAACAATCATCAGTACTTAACATTCACTGCATCAGAATTTATTTTTTAAACCACTAAGGATGCTATACAAATTCGTCCGTCCCGTATCATATCCCACTTGATTTTGTAAAAGCATGTGGAAGAATGAGGAAAATAACCCTGTTTCTTCAGTATATGCCTCGAAGGTACTCATAATTACAATACTGTAGATAAGACTCTCCTGCATAGCAAAGTAGTTTAAAAAAGGCATCACAGAGAAAAAAGTTAGCAAAGTATTTGCCACTAGAAACAAATTTTCCAGTTTTCCACTATAGGATATTATAGTGATTCCAATATAATAAAGAAGAGCTGTGTGTGCGCTGATTTTTTTTAAACAGATCAATATTTAGAAGCCTGTCTACTTAGCCAAGATGAACACTAAATATAGACTGAAAGGGACAGTCTGTTTCATAGCTGCGTTCATGGGTTGTGCAGGAGTTGACGGGTTCTCATGGGTCTAAAAGTGGAGAAAGAGCAGCACGCGTTTTCCTCTGGTGATTGTCACTGGCTGATATCTTCCATACTGGCAAATTAGCTCAGCGTGGTTATGTTGTAAGTAACATTTCATTCTCTTGTTTTTTAACTCCTTTTAGACTTGATCATCATCATCTTTTCTGTTTGACTTCTTACACAAAGTGCTAATTTAATTTAAGTACAACAGTTTAAGGAGAAATTTAAAAGTCGGATAGGGAAATGGTCTTTAAGCAAGGTTACAGTAGAGGATGGAACGGCTTAAAAAGCACAATGTTTAGATCAGTTTGTTGGGAAGCTAATGTAGACTTGGCCAGTGACACCAGTGGCTGTGTCCTCTCTCATTTGTCCTGGGACACCAGTGGAAAAAAGAAAATCCAAACAAACTTAAAATAGACTTTGTTCAATCAGTACTGATTTTCTTCACTGCAATTACATGCACAGTGAGGAAACTGGTTTTAAATATTTAATAATGAACCCAGAAATATATAAATTCAATTCCTAATATTAATGGATCAAAGGTACTCACGTTTATTACAGCTAAAGTTGTTAAGAAGAGTCTTCCTAGAACTTGCAGGGAGGTACTAGTCAAAATGCCCAAGAGAAACAACTGTTCTGAAGCTAAAAATAACCAGTCTGTGTGTGAGGTGGTGACTTTTAGCATGCTGTTGCTGAAATACAGGGCTCCATAACGACTGCAGCTGGCCACGAGTTTGCTTGTATGGAGATACCAGAGATAGCGCTGGTGATGATGCCACCAGCAAAAGTTGCTGTCTTGCACCATGTGACATTCCACGGGGATGAAAGTGGATCCAACCATCTGTCCTGAAATTACTGCTGCACATCTAAAAATCTTACGGGGTTATCAGGGTAATAAGGGTAATAAGGGTTAATAAGTCTATAAGGGCTATAATCACTACAGTTCTAGCTTTTCTACCTTATTTTTGTGCTTTACAGCAGCAATTCTGAAAGAGAAAAAATAAGCTGTAATTGTTTCCATGTTGGGCTCTGTTAAATTTAAGTAAAAAAGCATACAAGTAGGCCTGTCAATCTCCACTCTTCACTGGGAGAACTAGTCCTTTTTCAGAAGTGATTAAAGCACTTTGTCTTTGCAGTTGTATTGAGACGCAGTGAATAGTTATTTGGCTCTGTGCTCAAATTTGGGGGAGAAAACATCCCAATGGACAAATTATGACAGTTTTCTCCTGAATCTGGTTTGATGGGGGAAAAAATAGGTCTTTTTTGCAAACATTTAGGCTTGTATTGCTCATACTTCAGGTTTTCAATTGAAATGGTAAGTTAGGAATCTGGTCATACTACCTTCTCTCTATTTCTTGGAGAAGAAGAGAGAGGGAGAGGCATGTCAAGGGGGCAATTTCGACCCATTTAGGGTTCAGAAATCACCCTTAGGTGCCTAACTCCCTCCATGAAGAGGAGGCTTGTATAGTGTGGAGTGCAGGTGCGTAAATTGTATATGATAGATCTGATAAAATACTAACTGGGTGCAATGTAAATGACCCCCAAGTCTAAGCTAGTCTCTGTGAGCTCCCCTGTTACATTGCCAAGCAAAGAAAAGGTACCTCTAGACTGCAATACTAAGGTCTAAAAAGAGCTACCTTAAAATAGGAGGAACACAACTCTGGAAGCACCTGATTTTTCTTCCTGATTATAGAGGGAGTTAGCCACAATCAGTGTAGTTGTCTAAGATGCCTAGTTAGAGCAACTGCATCTCCTCATGACTCAAACAGTAGTATGTTTCTAGAATACATTTTTGGAGTCAGGATAACATAAAGAAAACGGAAAGAAGACTGTTAAGAAATAATGTGCACCCCGTGTGGGAGCCTACTTAGGTATTGCTTCTTCTTTATATAGGAAATCTTTCCTCATAACTGGATATATTTATACAACCATTAACTCAGTTTGTGCATGCAGCCTTGGCAGAGAAGCTGTTTTTATTGATTGGGCCCCATCCAGTGGGCAGGGTATTTTCCGAAGAAAAGATCTGCTACCAGGCTTTAATTTGTCCAGAACTAGCCTGTACATCAAGTAGAACCATACTAGGAAAAGAGTATTTTTTGCTCCATTTTTCACAGGTAGATAATAATTTCACACTGACATTGCAACGTGCATAAGCAAACCTGTATTCTTGCTGCTTATCTCCCATGTCCATACCAGCTTTCTGGCTTTCTTTCTCATCTCTGAGTTGTTTGATGCTTAAAGCAGAGGACCTGAGTGATATCCTTTCTGGTGAGGTTAGTAAATGTTTTGCTTTCACTAGGGTCAGGATATCAACCTCTAATTTACCAAGTACCCACCGAAATAAAAGGGTTATATAACTAAGCGATTAATGTTCAAATCAACATTGGAGCGAGTGACATAGACTCTCTAAATAGGTATATATACCTATATAATGCATGCACAAGTATTATGTGGAAATGAAATTTTAGACTTGTCAAAGATCTCCAAGAATAAAGAACAAGTGCTACAAACTGAGTGACCCTTTCTTTCAAGATCTAGTAAGTGTGTTGGTCTTTCGAATCCCTTTATTTTACGAGTTGTTAGGGCTGCCTGGCATTTCCTCAGATCAGGATATCTACTGTTACCAGTTATTTTGCATATCCATGTTTTAACTTTCTTTTTTTACTATTTCGCTTAGATATAATGGAGAGGCCTTCTTTGGAAATTAACCTGCCCAATACTCCTGAAGAGGGAAAACTTTATGTAGTTGATTCCTTAAATAACCTAAACAAACTAAATGTTTGTCCAGAAGAATCCCAACATGTGCTAGGTACGTATGATAAATGATGCTTAGTGGTATTCCTGCACACACAGAAGGTCATAAAAAAGACTTTGTGTAGCATTTGAAAAGGCTAACCAAGACTGCAAATGGCATCGTTGACACACAACAGCCGGAAGCTGCCATAGCTAAATGAGAGTAATGGTTTAGCTACTCCTGTTGACTGCTACTGGTATTAAATTCTTGGCAAGCCCTACATTTGGCTGAACTTGTCCTTCATTTCTATTTAGATCCATCAGGTGATCCTTTGCAGGAAAATTTCGTTAGTACTGCCCAAAATACACCTGCTGCATGAATAACATCATGACTCTTCACAAGCACTAAAATTCCCATGTGGCAATAGTGTGAACCAGTGAACTTCTGTTGATTCTTTTACGACACATCTCCTAAGGACTCAAACCAGTTATCTGAAATACTCTGTGAAACGTTAAATGATTTTAATTCACAGATCTCTTTACTTACAGTTTCAGATATGGGCTCTCCCAGTTCTACTGGTTTTATGTGGTTTTTATCTTTGCTTGTGGCAACAAGAATATTTTTAGCTAGTGATAGTTAAGATATACTTGAGATTTTTGTGATCTGAAAGCATCTTAAAAGCTGGAGTTCTTTGGCAGCATTCCACATGACAAGATTTGAATCTGTTTTTATTTCCCTTACTTTAATGGCAAATTTTGAAATTTGACTGAAGAAAATATACAGAAAAACAGCTATGTTGAAATGAGTTTCAAATGGCCATAACTTAATCATCCTTTCAGTCGGTCATAGGACTTGAATGCCTTTCTATCACTTCTGCTTCTGATTCCTCTCATTTTTCCTAATGCAAGTAACTTAGAGCAGTGCCACTTTCTACCTTCAACACAAAGATGTTAGATATCAACTACTTTATATTCATATGTAATTATTATCTCGATCTTCTTACTTCAACAACTACAAAAAAATACAGAGGATAAATCAGTTCTGATGTCAAAGAAACTTTGTGTAGCGTGGCCATCTTGCTTCCTGTCGTAGTTTTGATAGGACAGTGTTTACTTTCCAAGTAAATTTCATGTAATCATGTAGGGTTCCGTGAAATAATCATGTGCTTTCTCCTCACTCATCAGTACATAAAGGTAGCCTAAGATGTAGTTTACACATCCATTTGTAAAGTCCTTTGGGTCCTTGTAGGATGAGTCTTTTTAACATACGTATTTTTTAATTCTTCTAAAGCTTGGAGATTCTGTAGGTATCTTATCCTACCAGTAAAATATATCCTACCAGTAAAAATGAATTTTTCACAGTCCTTAGCTGTCCTATTCAGCAGTGTATATACAATTCTGATTCTCTTGCCAGAAAATCAATGGGATCTGTGGAGTATTTTTCACTTTCTGATAAATACTAAATAATTGTGGATGATCTATTAGTTGCTATGGCAGATGCCCAGTGTGGTTTAGAACCGATGTTTCAAGTGTTGCAGTACACACAGCACTGCTTTTGTTCAGTAGCTTATTATGACCTGGCATAATCAAACACACTAGCAATCATGTTAAAAGGTGTTTAAAATGTAAAGACCTTTTGATTAGTTTGGTTGGAGCCATGCAGCAATTTATGTATGTTTCAGATCCTAAAACGGTCTTGCTCTTTGCAGCTTGGCAAGAATCTGTGTTCAATGATTCATTACTGTATGATTCAATACTGTAGTCTGGCACGTTTAGCCAGTCGCGTAGTAAGAAGTGTTCATTAGGCAGAGCGAGCGTGGAGCATTTTTGAGAACTCCATTGACAGCTCACTGGAGAGACTGTAGCAGCACCTCCCCTCCCTTACTATTCTGACTGAAGCAATATTGGTGCAGGCACTTAGTACATTATGCATTTGTTATGAATGCTGTGGGAATAAAAACAAAACCCCAAACCCAAATATTAAAAGGATTTAGTTTACCTGCTGGCAGGAGCATGATAAATCCAATAAAGAAAAGCAAAGATATTCCCAGAGACCTCCTACTAGTTCAGTGAATTGCTCAGCCCCAGGTTTGTTCATTATTGAAGTCCTGTTAGGGCATATGCATGGTTCCCTCAGCTTTATCACTGCAGGCTCAGTTGCAAAGATCTAAAAGACTTCTACCAGATAAAACCAGAGTACAATCTAGAAATACATTTTTCATAGATGCACGTGCTACTTTCCCTTTCAGAATGGCAAGAGAGCGATTACAGAAGAATTTACAGTTAATCTGGTTTTGCATGTAACTCGAACATTATTTTAGCATGTATAAGACCAACGTCAAAATGAAATGACATTAGCTCCTTGCTCCCCCCAAAAGAATAAATAAAACTAAACCTTTGGAAATAGTTAAAGTTGTGTGCAAAACTGGGATTAAAGAACTCTGGCTCAAGTAGGGCCACAAAGATAATTAAGGGATTGGAGCATTTCTCTCATATGGAGAGGCTGAGAGAGCTGTGACTGTTTAGCCTGGAGCAGAGAAGGCTCCAGGGGATCTTATCAATATTTAAAAAGATCTGATTGTGTGAGTGTAAAGAAGATGGGGCCAGACTCTCCTCAGTGGTGCCCAGTGACAGAACAAAAGGCAGTGGGCACAAACAAGAAAACGCTTCTTCACTGTGAAGGTCGTTGAAGACTGGAACAGGTTGCCCAGCGAGGTTATGGAGTCTCCATCCTTGGAGAAGTTCAGAACCCAACTGGACATGCTCCTGGGCGAGCTGCTCAAGGTGATGCTGTTTGAGCAGGGTGGTTGGACTAGGTGAGCTTCACAGGTCCTGCCAACCTCAACCATTCTGTGGTTCTGTGAAGTATAAACTTACTTGATACTCAAATGAACCTTTTCAAAGTGTTCACTAAACTTTCCCCCATTACCTTTAGGGCTCATTGCCACCTTTCATTTGATTGCAACTATTTTTATGAGAAAACCTGCTGACTTTCCCTTTATGCAACACATTCTTAAAAGAGCAGTAAACTGGCTTGCAACTCAAATTTGAGGAAAGCATAACTACTACTTGTTTTTTCCCCTCATTCTTCATGTGCTTGAAGTACAATATACATAGTCCATGCGAGAGTCTGTTCCACTTTGTGAGAAATCTGGACGATATATACCTCATTTTTTGTTGGAATGAAACTCACAAAACCTTTAGAAGGTTTTCGGTGAAGAAGAAGAACATACAAAACATTTAAGATAAAAAAGTTCAAACTTGCATTCATCTTATCCAACATTAGGAGCTTAACTGAGGCACTTAATTTGGGAATTTGGTCATCTCAGGGATATTTCTACCATCAAATAGATAAGTAACCAGCCTAGAGGAGGAATGTGCGGGATGAATCTGTACCAGGCTTTCAGTAATACTTTTTTACTCTCTTCTTTTTTGAAAAGGTCAAGTCCATTCAGGCCCTTAGAAAGCTTTCTGATGAAAATTTCATTGGAATCAGTAGATCTTTATAAAACTGTTCAGCTTCAATAAAACAGTACGTTTCGACAATAAAAAATATTTTTATTAATATAGTCCAACAGCTATACTTTCTATACTTCCAAATTCAAGCTGGGCTCATAAAGTCGGTTTCTTCACTTCTCAGGCAATATCAAAGGAATTAAAGTGTGTTGGCCAAAATTAGGATCTATTTTGGATGGTATCTGCTTGGAGCCAGAAGCATTTTGTCACGTTTGTTCTAACCACTCTTAACGTATTTTATCACAAAATGATTTGTCATCTCATAACAGATGAGGAAGATGAGAACACTGGTGGTACTGCAGAATACACGGCATGGAGCAACATAAGAAACCAATGTTTGTTCTTCGTCACCTTGATTCTGACTTTGATTGTCAGTTTGGCACTTGTTTCATTCGTAATATCTTTAATAAGTAAGTAAAACAATGGTTCTTAAAAATATAGGGCCCGATGAAAGAAGAACTTGTCAAAAAGTATTGTTCTACCTTATAATATGCTATTGCTGTCTTCGTTCGGTCGAAGGCTTTAAATGGTTATCGATGCCAGGTCTTGGTCCTGGGTCCAGGCCTCTACTCCCTGAGCTAAAATGTGCCACTTTGTTGTTAGTGCAAAGGCTTTGTGAGCTTAAACAGCTATCAAGATGAGGGCGTTGTGTATAAGGGCAGAGTATATGATTGTGAAATAATTTTTAATACTCTCTTTTACCCTTTGGGCTTATACTCAGTGCAGCTTCTACCTCACAGGCTGGAGAGCCAAAAGAAAAAAACAGATAGCTCCCAAAATACACAGTGGCACATATTTAGTGGGTAGAGCTCAGGTTTGATATATATTACAGGGAACTTATTTGATCTGCTCCCTCAACCACAGAAAAATATCGTTTCTCTATAGTGCTGTGCCGATATTAACCTAACACCCATTCCCTCATAGACTTTTATCAGTTGAGCCCAGATTCAAGACAGCAACATAATCTACACCTAAAAGGAAGGCTTTAAGCAACCTGCATTTAATCGTGAGGCGATAAGAACACAAACTTAGCTCAGCAAGGTTAAACTGTGTTTCTGAAAACATCGACTGGAAATTAAATGTTTGTACATGCCTAGAAATTGTTTGGAACTAAGAAAACTTGAAACAAAAGAAAAAAAAGCAGATAAGATATATCAAAATTGGCAAGTAGCATTAAGTCTGTAGATATAATTACTGGTCCACCTGAGTTGGGCTGGTTGGGCTGGCTTAGCGGAGACTGCTAAGCACGTGGCTGCAGGTGACCTTGGCTTATGGAGCTCTTGCCACCTTGGGATTTTCTGTGCTAACTTTATTGAACAGAGCATGAGGTGAATTATTTTAAAATATGAGTCCATTTTTAAAGAAATGGAATCCATGTGAAATCAAGATTTCTTCCCCTCTACTAGGATATTCACTGGAGCATAGCAGAGATACTTTCCCTTTTAAACAGGAAATCCTAACCCCTGACTGATGCTGTTCACAAGCTCCCAAAGGACAGAACATCAGAAAAGTAAAGAGCACAAAGGAAATCTTAAGTGGCATGACTGTAAAACTTGAATAAAAATATCTCATACTTGTACTCCAGATACGCTTGACTGGGAGCTGCTGAAAGTGCAGCTCTGGTATAAATGAATGAGTAATGTGCCCCTCTAGTGGAAAAATGTTAAAGTAATAGTGGATATGCTGCTGATAGGGATTAAAGGAGTTTGCTTGGGCTCAGGTTGGTAGAGGCCTGTGTTTTTAGGAACTGCATTTCCAGTAGTGTTTATCTCAGATTACGTTTGCAATCCATAGTCATAAACTCATTTTGTATTAGCACTATTAGACTTAAGCTTTTGCCAGCTTCAAGCCCATGCGTAAATTTTGTAAACTTCAGAAGGCCAGAATAAAATTGGCTCCAAATGTGTACGTGACTGATACTGTTTACTGATGTTACGGAGGAAACGGACCTCTTAATGCTAATATCTGCAAGAATTCTCCTTTAATCTACACATGCTTTAGGAAATCAAGTGGTAGTCTTAGGTCTCGGTGAGTGTTTTACTAATTATACTTTTAGAAAAATACAGATGTATACTGTTCAGAAATAGCATCTTGGAGTCCCCAAGTAAGCTATTTTCCTGCGGACGCTAATGGAATGGATACGTCCATGAAGACTGCAGAACCTGTCTGAGCCAGTGTATTTGATTGTATTACTCCGCACTACACTGAGTAAAACAGAAAATAAGCAGACAAAGAATCTGGTGAGCAGTAGTACCAGATGCATAACTTTTTATTATCAGGTTCTGCAGTTGT